GTTATATCAATTTTGATCCCGGAACTACTAGTAAATGGAACTATTGTTGGTACAATGTCTCTGTACGTCCATGAGATGGGCGTGTCAGGCACCGCACTCGTGTTAGCTAAATGTTCATGATTATTGTCTTGTGGATCATTGTCTATCACTGTATTATTGTCACTATCAATTTCATACAATTCAGGAATCATTATTTCATCGCCACTATCATCATCAGCACAAATCTCCTTCACAACACTTTCCAGCTGATCTGTAGGAACACGCCGACACTTGCTGCGAGAAGCCATGGTGAAACTGAATGCATGTGAAATATTTTTTGAACTTTTCCTTCTCAGAGGGTTCTGACAGTAATATAGACCCCCACAAAGTTTACAAGGGTTCTTTACAACCATGCACAAAAACTACCATATATATGTCTTTGGTTGATGAGTGCCAAGAGAGCAAATAAGGGAAGAGATTTTCAAAGCGTTAAAACACGCCAATGCCAGGGAACGGCTGGCATCGCCCCGGCGTTAAAACATGCCCGCGCCAGTCAAAGAGTTAAGGTTATGTAACACTTGGGCAGAAACTTTGTTTTCTCTGTAGGGTCCCCAACTTACATGGTTAATTTGTTCTGAAGGTTTCCAAGTAAGCTGAAATCTGTGCAAGTCCAACAAAGCTTCAATATGATACATATTTCATATATACATTTATATCATTGGAGAGTTAAATTTAAAAAGTACATGCAATAAAAATGTATCATAATTTACAATATTTTCATATATAAACCCTGCATATCAGGTACTAATGACTGCAGAAGTCATAGTACCTAAATTGTATATTAAACAACAATAAAACAAAAACAAGAAAAAAAAAACAACAATGAACTGTGTATCTATGGATTTGAGTAACTTGAACCCATGTAAGTCACTGCCTTACTATACAGTATTACATGTTTACTTTTCATGAAACAATCCCAGCTAGAAATTATTATCTTATAAATCAATTCTGTATAATGCATAGACTGGCTGAGAACCGGATTAAGGAAATATGCTGTATTCTGAGTACTGCATGAGGTGTTGAATTTTTCCAGCCATAGTGTATTATCCTGTATCCCAAAACCTCAAGTCCAATGGGTTAACCTGGCATACTTAAGTGATCTATAGATGTGTCTTATCAACATTTAGATATTCATCATTCAGTGATATATAAAGCAACATTTCTACACAGTAACAGCATTAAGATAAGATTAATAAATGCAGATATACAACAAAAATACCTTAATCTGCTGGTAATCCTGTGGACAATACTTCTGTACAGGAGCATCAAACAGAGCCAAAGGACTACATGCTCGCCAGTTTCTATAATTTCCAACAAACTCTAATCCTAATAGATGTCCAGAAACAGATGTCATGATCATCTGACATCTCTGATTGAAGACATTACACTCAAACTCATAGATTTTATTAAACCTGGACAGCCCTTCTCTCTGCAAAAAGAAATGAACGCAGTAAATATAAATGTATGTCATAACTGTGGAGTCATTAAAATTTAATTCTTGAACTTTTTTTTTATTGCTAGTGGAGTGGGACTAAGTCCCTTGCACTGTGGCCACTTCTGGCCTATTGTATCAGCCCCAGATGATAGGTGAGGGTGATTGTGGAGCAATTGGTGGAATGAGGTTTGGCAGGGGAAACCGAAGTACTCGGAGAAAACCTGCCCCAGTGCCACTTTGTCAACCACAAATCCCACTTGACCAGACCCGGTATCGAACCTGGGCCAACGCGGGACACATGGCTTAAAGTCCCTCCCGGAGGACTTGTTCCCTGAACTTTTCCGCCCTTAAAAATTCCACGACCTCTGCCGGGTTTGAAGCCGCGTACCTTGAGTCATGAGGTGGGAACGTTACCCCCACACTACGGAGTGAAAGTTACTATAAGTTATATTCATGCCCTTACAGAAACAGCACTGAAATGACTACTTCTCATAATGTCCTTAAGGTCAACAAACCATATAAACAGAGAAAAATTAATAATGAATATCTGTTTACAATCAGCTGAAGCATACTGGACCAAACACATTAATGAATACAACTGTTAAATTTGATGGCCAGAAATCTGAGAATTAAACAAAAAGTTCTGGCAAGAACTGCTATGACATGAACCACAGAAAATGATGCCTCCAACAATTCTTTGTTGCTGTGGGAATGGGTTTACAGAGCCTGTGACTAGAAACAATACGTGGGATACACACATAAACTGATAGGGGACATTTATGAAGTATGCCGCTGATATGGGCATAAGTGCCGTGAAATACATACCAAGTTTCATAAAGACTGGTTCAAACATTCAAAATTTGGTGGTGGTGGGGGTGGGGGGGAGGTTTAAACAGACACACGCATGGCACAGTGATCTCATAAGCCTACTTTTATTTCTTCAAAATAAGGACAGTAGACTAAAAAGGAATACTCTTATCCAAACCATACGTCAGTTGTAGGATTTGAGGTTTTCACAGTGGTGACTATGAAGACTGTCGTCTTCTGAGATGTGGCTACATGTAGATCTTCTGTGAAGCGACGTTTTGGAGGAATATATGGCCTCGATCTTCAGAGTGTAAGATGGAGGTGATACATTCCTCTGAAACATTGGTTCACACAAGATCTACATGGCACCACATCCAAGAAGACAGCATGCTCCACAAATCATTTACTTTAAATACCTCATACATAAAAAACAATCTCGAGTACAACCCAGCCTGGAAAAAAAAAAGAAAAAATGTGAATTCATACAGATGTAAAACTTGTAGCATACTGTCAAAGCTGAGCAGACTATAGCTTGTGTTGCAGCAGAACTTTTTGTATGGTACAATGGATACTGAAAAATTCTGTACCATCTTTTTCAAACACAAAAGATGTCAGATTTTAAGTCTTGCAGCTCCAATTAGCAGATGTCTGTCCACTGCTGAGTGTAGTCTGTAAGTTTGCAGATGTCTGTCCAATGCAGTGTGTTACTTCTCTAGGGTTGAACATATTGTGACATGACAGCTGAAGGCAGAATAGTGAAGCTCTAATATATGCACCTCTTAACATACATATATATTACTTTAAACATTATGTATATGATTTTGTCTGACTGTACAGACAGGAAGTTATAATTACATATAATAAGATGATGAACTCTGGTTGAGACAAACACGCATGATGCAACACTTGTTTGTCGACCAGAGAACAAGGAACTTTGGGATCATCTGCTATGAGCATGTACTCCACGTGAAATCATAGCATGTGACTGCCAGCCAACGCCCATCCTAGCCTCTTTAAAAGACCATGTTTTGGGGCGCGGATCGGACTTCATAGATTTCAGTTCATACACTGCACTTAGTCTCTGTGCACCGTCACAGGGACTTCATAAACTTCTATTCAGGCAATATTCTTGATCTCTGTACAACATTTGTATCAACATCATTTTTATTAAATATATTCACTCTATCGTACTGTGAGTTCGACTTGGATTTCAATCCTTAAGTGTCCGACGTACTACGAGGAACAGTCTCCCGCTCGGCTAACCTCTCGTATCCCATCACCATCATAGGGATACAACAAAGCCAGAAGAGACAGCCACTGCTGGGCAACAAAAGCACATAACAATGGAAGAACTGCTGGATTTGGTGTTTTCTGTCAGGTGTAGCAAGCACAAATAAGAGTTAATCAATCATGGCTCAGATGTCATGAGCCATTAACCTTTATCGGACGAACGTCATCATATGATGTCGTTAAAAGTAAGGGCAGCTGGCCGAACGTCATCATATGATGTCGCGGATTCCACGCGTGTAAGGTTTTTTTTAATATTATATTAAAAATATAAATTGTTGTTCTATTTACATGATTTTTGGTCACCACCTTTATAAGGAGACAGCCTTCGTTCCTGCATGATCTAATGTAATCTAGGGACGTCATATGACGTTAAAAGTAAGGACAAATTTAAGAACGACATCATATGATGTCGCGCATTCCACGCGTGTAAAGATTTTTTTAAAATTAAATTTAAAATATAAATTGTTCTTCTATTTACATAATTTTTGGTCACAACCTTTATAAGGTGACAGCCTTCCCTCCTGCGTGATCTAATGTAATCTACCGACGTCATATGGCCGAACGACCTCATATGATTTCGCGCATTGCACGCGTGTAAAGATTTTTTTAAAATTAAATTTTTGCTCTACTTACGTGATATATGTTCACCATCTTCATGAGGAAACAGCCTTCCCCCCTGCGTCATCTATGGTAATGTGGCCTTCGTATGGTACTGCCGAAAAAATTCCCAAATGCAGAGTCCGACGTCGCAGCTCACGCACTTCGTACGAACGCTAGACCGCTTCCCTCGCGAAAAGCACACACGACACCTCAGTTGCGATTTAGAGGAAGCAGGCCAGTGATGTCGAGCTTCAGTAATATTTATCCCCGCAGCTACACCGGAATAATTATTCACACCTCTCCAGCCACACTGGTCTGGCGGTCCCCAAGTTGCCGACGAAGGTGATGACCCGTCGTCCGCGGAATCAGAATTCCAACTTTGCTCGCCCCTCTCATAATCTGTCATTGAACAGCTGTTCTCAATTTCAGGCATCAGAAGACCAACCTTCCACGCCACATTCAGAATCGGTTGAATAGCAGTCCGAATCTGTGTCATAGAACAGCTGTTTCTCATTTCAGCATTTTCCATACGACGTCGTCGTGTATAATGCTCTCTAGCAATGCTAGCAGTGAATATCTGTGCTAAGACCACGATAAGAAGCCATAAATCTTAACCTCGAGCCCACACATACAAAAATCTCATTCACGACTTCTCTGAACCAAATATCTGCTTCATGATGTCATGGGTGGCTAACATATTGAGATGTTTCAAAATCGTTACAAACACAATGGTTTGACTGCAATGAATGAACGAATGACCGATCTGGCAACACTATATTCCAAGAATTAACTGCTGTGTTTATCTAACACATTAGGCAGCGAGGAAATTCAGAAGGCTACAGTTGCGCATACCGACATGTCCTATAAATAAGCTTCAACAAGAGATAACATTGTATGTGAGGTGGCCACGAAGGACTTACACTGCTAAAACGCGTGGTGCAGAAAATGTATTACACTGCTGGAACGCATGGTGCAGAAAATGTATGAATTTCGGGAAATTTTATTTTGGGAATCAGTGTAAAAATTTTTTACAGATATTAAAATCTGTAAATTAGAATATCTGAATCTATATTCTTTCTACATTAAAGGAGCGTTCATTTCGTTCGTTTATCATAAAAATTGTAGAAATTACACCATTTTTAGAAACATGCTTACAATTTCATTGCTCTAGAAGGGCGGGCATTTAAATAAACTCCGTCCAGCTGCCCCTACCGGAAATTAAATGGCCCGTCCGATAAAGGTTAATCATGAGTTTGCTGTGAGTGGCAATAAGGTGAGCATGGAACAAGGGGAATCTACATTGCCAGGAGCAGTTACCAAGCAATGACTGGAAAGTATTGATGAAAATACTGACATAAATTTTGTGATCAATGAGTTCCTGGACAAACAATTCATAATTTGGTGAATAAACTTAGAAGAATGGAACTCTAAAACACCCAGTTCTTACTGAGGAGAAGTTAGATGACATAAGGGCCAGAGTTGTACACACACCTAGAAAATCAATGAAATGTATAGCTCAAGAGACTGGAGTGTCAAAATCTAGTGCAAGAGCAGTAACACAACTGCTGAAGCCATCCAGTGAAAATTGGTGTTTGGTGTGCTTAAGTGCAAGAATTGTTGTATGTGTGTTTTTTAAAGAAACAATTAATTGCAACAGATATTTACATGTAGAGGGACAGCATTTTCAACACCTCCTGTGATCTGTGAAGAAAGTCACGACTTCCCACCCACTGTATATCACTTTCATTCTTCAGCATGTTTCATGACAGCCACTTATACTGGAACAATCACATTACTGCAGTTATAACTATCCTGAACCAACATATGTATGCTGCAGGAAAGTTATCTGCACTGTTGTTCAGAGACTCATGCTGTCTATTGTGTGTTGTAACTGCTGAACAAGGTTCCCTCCACATCACTCAATGAATTGTTCTCCATAACCAAGAGGAATGCAGTGTGCACCACTGTAGGTAACAATCATGTATATGGGAGAACATGCTATTGAGATCTTGAAAATTACAGTACAAGGAACAAAAAGCAACACTAGGTACACACAACTAAGTGAGTGGCACACCCAATGGGACACAAAAACAGCAGCAACATATAAAATATGGAGAAAATCATCCTACAACATCAGAATTCTAAGAAGTTAATAATAAAAATGACAATGTGCCTTAATGAAAACTATTTGACCAAGTACACAGGGCAGTACACTCCTTTAAAAGATCTGTTACCTGAAGATGGCTCTATGTGGGTGAGACATGTAGCATAAACACCAAATTTTAATAATTTTAATGACTTTTTAAACATTTAACGAACATCTGTGAATTAATATCACTGCATTACAGAAGGAAAGCACGACTATAATACTATCACGTGTAGGGTGGTACGCATGAGAATGATGAATTGTAGTTTGGATGACTGGATTTATTAGCACTCTGGTTTCGATCTCTCTTAATCACACTTAAATACAGGCAATAGAGAGCTATTGTATAACACAGTAACGTGTTCATGTTTCTATGACTATTTCATTCTGAATTATTAATGGAAAATAAGAGCACCCACAAACAGTTTATCACTCTCCTTCTGATTTCATATTTTCTGCAACAGACAGTATGCAATCCCCACTTCATTCAATGAAATGTCCATAGACTGTTTACAGTGTTGATTTCCTCAATATGAAAATAAACACATCTCTCTTGTAACTTGTTGCTTATCTTCTGTTGCCTACTAGCAGTTGCTTTTGTATGAATCCCACCTTTGGGATGACCAGGGACTGTGGGGGCTATTGGCACATTGGGAATAATGGCTTGGAGCATGAGGGCAGGATTGGGTACATCCTCATTTCTGCCACCAGTTTTATTATACTACACAGCCCTGGTTATTTTATGAGCAGAAATACGTACACCATAGAAAATCTTACATTTACACCAAACCTGGCCAAAGTGTAGAAATGATACACCCTACTCTACCACTACTTCTCATTTCAAACTTACCCGCTTAAAGTTTCCACCAGAGAGAAAACCCGCTAAATTCTTGGCTGCATCATTTTTTTCTGCTACATTTAGTATTTTCATTTTAATTACCTCTTCGTCATAACCTACTTTATTACCACGTAAAATACGAGCATTGTTAAAATGAAACTGACTCTTTCCTTTCGGTCTATGATAAAAAATTGCTCGTAACAATGTGACAGTACACATTAACTTCAGTGTATGTTACAACGGTTACAATTGGGTCCCGAAACAGCAAACTCGGTGCCAGACATGAAACTGTTTAAAAATTTCACTTCATGTAAAATGAAACCACGCAAACGACCTCCACTTCAGATAAATAAGAAACACAATCCGCAATTAAGACACTCAGAAATTTCATTATCAAACACATAACAAATAACCTCCACACACTTGACTATAATCACGGATTACTAACACATACTGAAATACTAAACTTCATGAACAACGCCAACGCATTCCCTCTCACGCTAACACGGACTCCGTCGCTCTCTGTGTGGTAATCCGTGCCTACAACCGAACACATTTCTGTGGACCGCTGTGGACGATTACAGACCGTTGTAAACTATGCATCTGACTACACAGAACGTATCGCATACAAGCAGATGTAGCGGTCGTTTTTAAAGATTCAGTTATAAATTACAAAAAAAATTTGGAGATGAAACTGTGTGTTGGTGTGGATAACAAAATTGCTTTTAAGCTATAAATTAATCGGTAGAACAATAACAAACGAACTCCAAGGAGATGGGTCCTTGAGAAGCCACCAGTCGCTCAGTAGAAATTCCGAATATTGTACGAACCCGAAGGTTCGCTATCGTGTTTGCAAGAGCCCGCTACTGGTCTTTATTCTGAGCCAGGTTAATCCAATCCACGCCATTCCATCCTATTTCACTAAGATTCATTTTATCATTATCCACTGAACTACATCTAGTGGTATCTTTCCTTCTGGCCTTCCCATCAAAATCGTACGTGCATTGCTCTTCGCCCCCCATGTGTGCTACATGCCTTGCTCATCCCGAACTTCCCTGACTTTATCATTCTAATTATAATTCCTTCAATATTTTCCTGTGCCCATAGGCACATTTTAAAATTTACTGTTGAAAACAGGGAGATTTATAGAAAAATGGTACATTATTTTGAGAAGCTATTTCGCCAAAGGAGAAACTGACTGTGTAAGGTTGATTGGACTAAATGAAGTATTTGTATTCTTAAGGCTAGTTAATTTATAAAACTAATTTGACCTATTGTAATTTAAAAAGGAGGCATCGCCCCAGCAGGCGAATATACATTTTTCTATGGGAAGGGGAATGAAAATCATGAATTAGGTACAGGTTTCTTTGTACATAAGAGAATCGTATCAGCAGCTAAGAGGGTAGAGTCTGGTAGTGATAGGATATCATATATAATACTAAAAGGATGCTGGTGTGATATAATTGTTATGAATGTTCACGCCCCAACAGACGATAAAACTGATGACATAAAGGACAGGTTCTATGAAGAACTAGAACATGTATTTGATAAATTCCTGAAGTACTCTATGAAAATTTTGCTCGGAGATTTATATGCCAGAGTAGGGAGGGAAGATATTTTCAAACCAACGATTGGGAATGAGAGTTTGCATGAAATTAATAATGATAATGGAGTTAGAGTAGTAAACTTTGCCACCCATGATGTGTATTTATTAGCCGTCTTGTAGTGCACTCAGTGTCACATGTCACTTCACTACATGTTTCGGCATTACTGTGCCAACATCAGGTGTGTTATTTACGTCAAGCTATTGCATTGATCGCCATCATGTGTCGTTTTTAAAATTATCTAAAATGCACATTCTTCAGTAACTATAATAAAATTTAAAATTTATATATATATTAAAATTTGTTAATATCCATTATCTTACACGTCTTAACTCAAATGGGAGTCGTTCTTCTGATATTTTGTGTATATTGTGTATTGTGATGTGTCCTTTTTTGGCTGCCACATCAAAAAATCTTACTGTCAAAAGTACAATGTTCCTGCATTGGAACATCCATAAATTTACCTGGACATCTCCTGATGGGAAGATACACAATCAAATTGACCATAAAGAAAGTCGTCTTCTGTGTTTTGGTGCCGTGTATTCTTCGTTTTGGCTGACGTTTCGGAGGAACGTATCGCCTCCACCTTCAGAGCAGGTGAATGGCTTGTGAATGCAGAGAGCAGTAGCTGTAAATCAAAACTTACAAATTGACCATAGTTTGATAGATAGGAGATGGCATTCATGTATACGTAATGTCCAACCATTCAGGGCAGCAGATTGTAATACAAACCACTACCTGGTGGTGGCAAAGTTTAGGGAAAGACTGGCAGTGAGCAAACAAACAACACACAGAGTTCATAATGAGAGGCTCAATCTCAAGAAATTAAATGAGGTAGAGGGTAAAGAGCAGTATTGTGTTGAAATCTCAAATACGTTCACGGCTTTGGAAAACTTGGACACTGAGGTGGATGTTATTAGAGCTTGGGAATCTATTAGAGAGAATATAAACATTTCTGCCAAAGAGAGTCTAGGTTATTATTAGGGCCCGGATTTTTTGAAAATGCATATGCGCATATGCAAATGCATATTTTGAGGGTTTTTGGTCCTTATTGCATGTTCTAAACGTAAGAGCATATTTCTTCATATATGTTTGATATTAAGGATAATCAAGGACGAGACAACTGATTTATGTGGCCGATGCATAACAAATTTCATAGTTGTTAAGCTACATCCAGACGAACCCTTCAACCCCAATCTTCTTGCTTGCAAACTACTAGAGAAAACCAACCATAGCACAATAGCAAGATTTGTAAATGATTCTCTGCGACTACTACGACCATCTGAAATTGAGAATAATTGTTGTAAGGTGCTTGTATTACTCACAGCTGCAGCTTCCTATATGTTGAAAGCAGCAAAGGCCTTACAAGTATTTTATCCAAATCTTATACGCGCAACCTGTTTAGCGCACGGATTACACCGTATTTCAGAAAAAAATACGCGCACAGTTTCCAGCTGTTAACGATTTAATTGCAAGTGGAAAAAACTGTTTCTGAAAGCACCAGCTCGTGTCCAGTTCTAAAAAGTTTGCCTACCTCAGGTTCCTCTCCCACCTGAACCTGTCCTAACTAGGTGGGGGATATGGATATCCGCAGTTTCATTTTATCAGGAGAATTCAATCAAGTAAAAGAAGTGGTTGCAAAATTTTAAGATGAGTATGCATGTGTCCGTGAAGCAAAAATGGCGTTTGGAAGTGATACTGTTTATCAAGATGTGAATTTTATCCATGCACATTTTTCTGCAGTTTCAAAAGCCATTGACAGTTTAGAATCTTGTGGTGCACTCCTTCACGGCTCACTTGAACTCGTTCAGAAAGCAACTTGTTCGCTGAATTTCTCACTAGGCGAAATTGGAGACAATATTAAATGCAAGTTAGAAAAAGTGTTGAATTCGAACCCAGGACTAAAAAAAGATTCAGTGAATTAGTCAGTATTTGAGTGGAATTAGGGTATCTTTGTCAGATGAATGTTCTGAACCTTCGGCGCCAGTGTATAAATACTGCCCAGTCACGTCAGTTGATGTAGAGAGATCATTCTCAGCCTATAAACTCATTTTGATGAACAACAGACGCAGTTTCTCTCCAGAAAACACTGAAAGACTCCCAGTTGCCTATTGTGATGCTACTTTCTGCAGTGAATGATACATGTATATAGATGAGTCTGAATAAAGTGACCTATTTCGTAAGTGCATATTGTTTTATTTTTGGTGCATATTTTCAAGCTTTTTAGCGCATACTTTAAGTGTTTTTAGTTCAAATTTTAAGTGTTTTTAGCGCATAAATATCCGGGCCCTAGTTATTACGAACCGAAGAAGCATAAGCCATGGTTCGATGAAGGACGCTCAAAGTTACTAGACCAATGAGAACAAGCCAAACTGCAATGATTACAGGATAAATAAATAGGGGTGATCTGAACAATATAAGGCGAGAAAACAGCAGGAATTTCAGGAACAAAAAGACGGAGTATCTGAAATACAAAATTGATGAGCTTGCAATGAACAGTGAGAACAAGAACGTTAGAGACCCTTATAGAGGAATAAGTGACTTTAAGTGGGGTTACCCATCTAGAAGTAACTTAATGAAGGATGAGAATGGTGATCTCCTTGCAGATTCCCACAACATTTTGAATAGATGGAAGAACTACTTCCCTCAGTTATTGAATGTACATGGGGTCAGTGATGTTAGGCACATAGAAATGCATACAGTTGATCCGTTGAAACCTAGTCCCAGCCCTTTTGAGGTTGAAATTGCTATTGCAAAATTGAAAAGGTATCAATCGCCAGGTAGTGATCAAATTCTGGGAGAACTTGTTCAAGCAGGAGGCGAAATATTACGTTCTAAGATCCATAAGTCAATTACTTCTATTTGGCATAAGGAAAAATTGCCCAATCAGGGGAATGAGTCTATTATTATACCAGTTCACAAGAGGGGTGACAAAACTGAGTGTAGTAATTAATGGCGGATATCACTGCTATCATCTTCATACAAAATTTTATCCAATATTCTTCTCTCAAGGATAGGTCTATACATAGATGAAATTACTGGGGTTCATCACTGTGGGTTTCAATGTAACAGATCAACTACAGATCAGATCTTTTGCATTCGTCAAATATTGGAGAAAAAATGGGAGTACAATGAAATAGTACCGCAGCTATTTGTAGACTTCAAGAAAGCCTACGATTCAGTTAGGAGGGAAGTATTGTACAATATTCTGATAGGGTTTGGGTACCCATGAAACTAGTTAGGCTGATTAAAATGTATTTAAAAGAAACTTGTAGTAATGTCTGTATAGGTAAATATTTGTCTGATAAATTTCCTATCCAGAATGGTCTAAAACAAGGAGATGCTTTATCACTACTGCTTTTCAACTTGGCTTTAGAATATGCCATTAGGAAGGTCCAGGGAAACCAGGTGGGACTGAAATTAAAGAGGACACGTCACCTGTTAGTCTAGGCCGATGATTTGAATCTACTGGATGATAATATAAATACCATAAAGAAAAACACCAAAACCTTAAATGATGCGAATAAGGAGGTTGGTATAGAAGTAAACACAGAGAAAACTAAGTACATGTTGCTGTCTTTTCACCAAAATTCAGGGCAAAATGATGATATAAGAAGAGGTAAAAGATGTTTTGAAAATGTGGCACAGTTCAGTTATCTGGGAATGACAATAACAATTAAAATCTGATTCAGGAGAAAATTAAGATGAGACTGAACTTGGGGAATGTTTGTACCATTCAGTACAGAACCTTTTGTCTTCTTGTCTGCTGTCCAAAAACATAAAAATTAGAATGTACAAAAATATAATTTTGCCTTTTGTTCTGTACGGGTGTGCAAATTGGTCTCTGATATTAAGGGAGGAACACAGACTGAGGGTGTTTGA